GTTGGCAAACTCATGGCCAGCCTGGGCTATGGAGTAAGTTTCAGGCTATCCAGGGCTACCTAGTAGGAGCCTGTCTAAGCCACAACAAAAAGAAGGCTCCGACCAAACTAGCAGGAGACGGAGGCCATCCTGGAGACAAAAGAGCACCTTGGGGAACTGTGTGGTAGGGGTGAGGGGTAGGGGGGCATCTGGGCCCAGATGAATGCCAAGAATGAGCCCCAAGACCCTGAGCAGCAAGCTGGGTGGTAGTGTCTGCTAAAACGGGAAGTGTGGAGAAGGGGAACAGGTGGCTTTCATCTGAGAAGTCTAAGGGGTCCATGTCGAAGTCTAGGGGAGCCACTGAAGACCACAGGCAGACAGCAGCCAAGAGCAGGAAGCCATAAAGCCATGAGGTGGGGAAGACTCACATAGAGACGTTGCAGAAGTCAACATTGCAAAGTCCTGGGGCAGGATGTGCTTGCCCAGGACCAGACTCTCAGTGGGGTGGTACTGCCCTCTAGAGGCTACTTGGAAACTGCAAGGTACGTCAGTAATCTTTGGCCTAACTACAAAGCCAGACCCTGTCTTACAAACAGCAGCCCAGCGGTGGCACCCGCCTTTTTATCTCAGCAGAGGCAGGTGGATCTCTGTGAGTTCGAGGCCAGACCGGTCAATGGAGTGAGTTCCAGGATAGCCAGGGCTACACAGAGAAACCCTGCCTCAAAAAACCATACAGAGATAAAGCCTGCCTCAAAAAATAACAAAACAAAAAAGAAAACAGGCATGAAGGCACCTACTTGTAACTCCAGCAGTTAGGAGATGGAGGTGAGAGAATCAGCAGTTCAAGGTCATTCTCCACTACATAGTGAGTTTCAGACCAGCCTGGGTTAGATGAGGTCCTGTCTTAAAAACAAAACAAAACAAAACAAAACCCAAACCAGCTAGTGATGGTGTTGCACACCTTTAATTCCAGGACTTTGGAGACAGAGGCAGGCAGACCTCTGTGAATCCCAGGCCAGCCTGGTCTACACAGATAAAAGTTTAATTACGTAAAAGCAAGTTTTCACACAGCAAAAATGCATTATAAACAAAGTAAAATAATAAAAACAACAGCCTGATAAACCAAGAGAAATGTTTGTGTGCCTCGGATATCACACAATGTCTAATACCCAAAGACATGCAGGATCTTGGATTAAGCCTTCGGCTCAGCTGGTGGTGAATTTGTGTACCCAGCATGCCTGGGGCTCCCATGCCCAGCTCCAACAAGGGGATGAATGTGACATTGGAAAGGTGAAGGGCTGGAGAGATGGTTCAGCCCCTAAGAGCACATAATGCTCTTCCAGAGGGCCGAGTTCAGAACCACCTGTAACCCCAGCTCCAGTGGGATTAGACACTGGTGGCTTCCACACTCACGTGTTTGCACAGACACACGATTAAAAATAAAGTTTAAAAGAGTTTGAAAGGTGGTAGTGGCACACCTGTAATACTTGAAAGGCTAAGGCAGGAGAATTTCAGCTAGCTTGAGGCTACACAATAAAACCGTCTCAAAGGTAAAATAAGACAGTTGCTTGGAACTCCAGCTCCAGAGGATCCAACACCCTCTTCTGGCCTGCTCAGGCACCCATACTTGATGTGCACACACAGCACATAAAATTTAAAACAAATCTTTTTGTTTGAGACAGATTCTGTGTAGCCCTGGCCATCCTGGAACTCACTCTGTAGACCAGGCTGGTCTCAAAATCAGGGATCCACCTGCCTCTGCCTCCAAAGTGCTGGGATTAAAATCACGTGCTACCACAGCCTGCTTCTTTCCAGTAATTTGACCCTTTGACCCAGTAATTCTAATTCTAGGAATTTACCCTGTAGACTGTTGTAGGACACATTTCCTCTGAGCGAAACAGCCGCCTTCTTCATCCGATCAGCTGCAAGACTTAATCACCTTCAATCTGGAGGGGACCTGGAAAATCACACACACACATACACCCGCCGTCTGTATGCAATTCTGCAATTGCATGTGGCCTTGTGGGCTCAGATTCTCAGGAGGTACTAGATAGACAGATTGGGGAAGGTTGAAGGGAGGGTGTCCATCTGTGACTGGAGGGAAGCCATCCATGCTTGGTAAACTCTCCATTGCAGCTGTTTGGAGACGCCCACCCTCCTGTCAGTAATCCCTCACCCAGGCTCTGTAAGGAAGCCCGGAGTGAACTGGTAGAATCCTACTTCCACTTGATATGGGGACCTCATAAGGAGAGAACAGACATTGTTTATACCTCCTCAGGGGAGGAGCTCTGGCTAAATCCTCACACCAAGCTCTCAATGTGCATATTGTGTATTATTCTAACAGAAACTGTCCACAAGAACCATGTACAGGGCCCTGGCCGAACCAATGACGGCCAGTCTACCCGTGGACTAGGAAAAGGGAAGACACCTGGGACCTGCTGTGGACTGAATTCCAGAGGCTGCTACACAGATAAAGCAAGTGAGAAGAGAGTATTTTTCATAGTATTTTAGGTTTTAAGCAAGAACAGAGGAGAAATAAGGACATGTTTCTATTTGTATCTGGAAAAAAAACAAAAACAAAAGCAGAAAACCCTAAGGATTTGCTAGAATTGGTTGTTATGGTTTGGACTGGAAGTTTTCCCACCCCACATTAAGGTTCCTCAGCTAAGGGTACTGTTCTGGGGGGAGGGGGGCAAATCTTTGTGGTACGGGGACTCAGCCACACCTGAGTCACTAGAGTGGGCTTTGAAGGTGATGTCTTTGAAGGTGATGTCTGCCCCGGTGCTGGCTCAGGGCTCTGACCGTCGGCTGCTGCTCCGCCATGTCCTCCCTGGAGGTGCTCCTGTTGGGCATTTTGTCCCAGTGATGGGAAAATCAACCAGTTTTAACACGAGCGAGAGGGAGAAGGGGCAGCAGTTTCATGTACGATTCTTAGCATGGCTTTCATCTTTAAAGTATGTGTACCTGTGTTCTGCCTGCATGTATGTCTGCCTGTCACGTGTGTTCCTGGTGTCCTGAGGCCAGATGATGGATCTCCAGAACCAGAATTACACAAGGTTGTGAGGCCCCATGTGGGTGCTGGGACTCAAACTCAGGTCAAGTGTAACAAGTGATCTTAACCACCCAGGCAACTCTCTACCCTGGTTTTCACCAGCAGATGCATTTTTTTTTTTTTAAAAAAAGACAGGCATGGTGGCTCATACCTGATCCCAGCATTCAAGAACAGTGAATTCCAGTCCAGGCTGTTCTATGCATAGTTCAGTTCCATGTCAACCAGGGCTACCCAATGAGACCCTGTCTCAAAATTATCAATAACAAAACAAAAAGCCAAGCATGGCATAGGCCTTGTGATCTCAGTATTCAGACAAGCCGAGACTAGAATCTCAAGTTTGAGGTTACAACAGTGAGACCTTGTGAGGAAAAAAAAAAAAAAAAAAACCCTCAAAAATGAAAGCTGACGTTGCCTTCCCCGAGTGTTGGCAGGTGTTTCTGAGTCCACTCCCTGTGCTTTCTCACAGGCCACACTGTCCGCAGTGTTCCTGCCAGAACAGGGACTTGGCTGTCATCAGGAGGGAGCACCTGTCTGCAGCGCTCAGGACAGCTTAAGCCCCAGCCCAAAAGGAAAACAGAAACCTGGGAACCGGCTTCAAAGGAAGGGGACTCGAGAGACACGGACCATTATCGGCTGGAACCCTCAGCCCAGGAGGAAAACCACCCAAGTCACTGTCCCAGGAGTCTCAACATGGCCAGAAGGACAGTGTGGTGCCTGAGTTTTGTACTGTTTTCTAGAAAACAGTAAAGCTGGGCATCATTACCCACACCTTTCATCCTATCATTCAGAAGAAAGAGGCAGTGAGTTGAGGTCAGCCAGGCCACAAAGGAAAACTAAAACTTTAAAATTAAAATAAAGTAGTTGGGTGGTGGTGGTGCTCACCTTTGATCCCAGCACTAAGGAGACAGAACCAGGAGGATCTCTGTGAGTTCGAGGCCAGCCTGGGCTACAGAGCGAGATCCAGGACAGGTACCAAAACTACACAGAGAAAAATAAATTAAGAATTGAGGAATAAGTGGGACATAATGTTTCCTCAACTAGTACAAAGAAACATCTGTGTTTACCTCCTTTATGTACATATATACATAAAACCTGATTATATTCATGTACAGAAAAAAAGACTGAGTCCAGGGATTGGTACGTGTCAGGAAAGCTCCATCCCAGCCAACATTTTACTTACTCTATCCTTTCTACAACCCTAAACTATTCTCCTAAAAAATAAAAATAAGTGCACTTGCTCCATTCAGAACCTAACAGTACTTCCAGCAAAAGCCCCAAATTATGGAATAAAGCACACAAATATAACAGCCAGTTTTATATTTTC